ATGATAAAATTTATCAAAACATTTCTCAAAGAGAATGTATTTTCATTAAATAACAAAATCTCGGGATGTCATGTTCCGATACAGACACATAAGCATAAACAAAACTTACATTTATTTACACTAATGATTTACATCTCCTTTAATCTCTCAGTGAAATGTGTCTTCGTATTGATACCTGTGATACAAAGAAAACTGAGTGGGTTAGGCTTGGGAGCCTGGTGAGTATATAGGGTTTTCAACCCACAATAATATAATTATTATATTCAATTATCAAACAATTAACCCAACTACTCATCCCTATTATCTTCTTTACTCTTAAGGTTTTACCCTAAGAATCAACTATCCTTCATTCACTCATTCCTAAGGATTGACCTAAGGAATTGGCATGAAGTCCATTGCTGCCAAAGTTTATCTATCAGATACTAAATCCATAGCTATCAGGTGCTAACTCCATAGTCACCAAGGTTTACTCCACAAGCGCTAACTCTATAGTCGCCAAGGTTTACTCAATAAGCGCTAACTCCATAGTCGCCAAGGTTTACTCAGCATGCGCTAACTCCATAGTCGCCAAGGTTTACTCAACATGGATCTTTCATCACACATCAACTATTCCATCTACCCATGTTCTACCCAACATATTTGTAGATATAAAGCATATATACATGTTAACTCATTTAAAACCTATATAAAACATTCATTCCACATCCATCTCAAGTAAACAAATATATATAAACACATAACACGTATTCCATAGCAAATATTTCATATCTATGTGTTAGAAGAAAGTAACTACACACTCACTTGATCAAAATATGATCGGACATCACTACGACTCTAAGAGTAGTACTTCTTTGGTGAAACTAGAAGATCTTCACACACCGGGCTTCTTGCAGGCAGAGCTTTAGCTTGGAAACTCTTTTCTTCTCGGGATCTTCGGGCTTCAGGACTTGCTTTGTGTCTTGGGATAAAACCAGGGCTTCAGGGGGTTAAAATAGGGCTTAGAGAGGGTATCGGGAGTGGGAGAGTAAGGGAGGAGCAACCAAAATCGATTGATCTTTGATTTCTATTTATAGGGTCATTTTTCTGGACTCACGTCATGAATCACAAATATTCACATCGTGAGTTCAATAGTCATCAGGTGCGTCATCGCAACTTGCGTCTGGCAGGCTCCAGAAGTCATAAATACTGAGTTCACGTCGTGAACACTGTATTCACGTCGTGAACTTTGACAGTTTTGGGGTTTCACGCCCCGAACTTCAGAAATTCATAACTTTCGCATAAAAACTCCATTTTCGATGTTCTTTATATCCACGCATAGGTGAGATTATGCTCTACAACTCTCGTTTAGACTTCGTCGGCTAATTTTGACTTTATTTTTACTATATTTTTATTATATTATTTTTAGTAGGTCGGGATAGGAAAACTCCATTAGAAATCCATAACTTCTTCGTCTGACGTCGGTTTTCATCTGTCTTTTCACTGTTGGGATACTATTGATGAGATCTTAGATTCTCGTTTAGATCGTTTCGGCTAGAAATCACTCGATCTCATATTCAAACTTCGGGCAGTATACTGCTAATGCTGAAACTTCAAAAAATCATAATTTCCTCATATGAAGTCAGATTTAGACGTTCTTTTTATGCACGCTCTCGGTTTAATGTATTCTAAAACTTTCATTTAGATCACTAAGGCCAAATATCGCTCTAACGTAAATTCACTATTTATCTCGCGTTGTGTCGTGTCGGTTCTATCGCAAAACTTCGACAGGTCATAACTTCTTCGTTGTAACTTGGATTTCGGCGTTCTTTATATGTACGGAATGCTTGTAACATATACTATAACTTAGTTAAGATTAATCAATCTAAATAATCTTCCATCAAAAAGTCATTTTTGATGCTTATCGTCTCTAAATTGACTAGCCCAGATCTACGGGCGTTACATGTCACGCTCCCTAAAAACGGTTATAAATATGAGGCCAAGCCTCATTCCCTTCCCACACCTCCCAAGATCTTCTCCCTCGAGTTGAGTTCGATTTTAGTCCGTTTTCCCTTAGTTTTAGTCTTCGGCGAACCCTACGACCCCTGAAGTATTAGTAGCTAGTGAGTAGAAGCTTTGCCAATGCAATTTCCTAACTTTTATGAGGAAAAGTCTCTGTAAGTTAAGCTACACTCTAGTCTTTTCAGTGTAACTTATATTTATAGTCATCAGTCATCATTATGAACCTATAAATAAGATTTATCAGTAATTCCATGTAATTATACTGATCGCTCTACTTACGGGAAAAGTGTCTAGAATGATCAAGTTGGCTTGGTTGTTGGATTTCAAAAAAGCTATCGTGCCGAAATGGTCCTGCCTCCCATCTGTCCTGCCTGACTGATCCTTACTTGATAGATCTTGATGTAGACATTGGAATTTAGTGTGTAATTTATATTACACCTATTATGGTCATAAGGCTTACGAAACTAGACTAAGGCTTAGTAGTCTATGCGTTTAGGTCTTTTCAAAGTATGAAATGAAGCTCTGTCAAAATTGTCAGTCATCTACTTTATCAAGTGAGTGTATAGTTATTTTCAAACTTACACATAGATAGAAGTATTCTAATTGCTTAAATGCTATGTGCGCTATTTTTGTTGTGTTTAATATATCTTCCTATAGTAATCTTCAATACTAATAAAAGAATAGTTATTAATGTCACTTTTCATTTTCTTATAATTTATGTTTTCTTTTTAAATGCTCTATAAAAATGACACTTGACATTTTTCTCATTTTTTTTAATTTTTTTTTAAGTATTGATATTGATAATAAGTTAGGCAATTATTTATTTGATTCCTAATTTTTAGTAAAAATTTTAATTCTTATTGAAGAAGTTTCGCTTATGATTGTCGATAACAAATTGTATTTCTATATTTAAAATCCTACAAAATCATGTTTAATTAATAATTTGTTTAATTAATAATTTATTAAAAATAGTTGATTAATAATCATGAGATTTACTATAAGATTTTAATTATTTTTATAATCGTAGTTCCCACAGACTATAACCTAGTTTGTATAATATGATATGATTGTTACTTGATCTAATCATATACTTGATAACACAATTGGGTAGTAAACGGTTGTGCGTAATAATAAATGAGAGGTTGTGCTTGAATCGTGTAAATTAGTGGTTGTGATAGGTTGAGTGAGAGTTGTGAAAATTAGTAAGTCGTGACCTGTCGTGCCTAGCCAAGTACTATTGTATTGTTGTGCCTAACCAAGTACTATTATACCGCCGTGTCTATCCAATGACTATTGTACTCTCGTGCATATCTAAGTATTTTTGTATTGTCATGGTTATCAAAGTACTCTGTCAATCTAAGTACTTTTGTACTATTGTGCTTAACTAAAATGTTATCATACTGCCGACATAGATCTCTTAGGAAAGATCTCTCGAGATCACCATATCAGGATTAGAAAGTGAGTATAACGGGAATGGAGAATGGGGTTATTTGAATGTTGAAGAATATATAGTTAAATATTATGATATTATGGGTTGAAACTTTTATGTATCCCATCAGGTTTCTCAACCTGATCCACTCAGTTAATTTGTATCACATGTATCAATGCAAAGATACATTACACTGAAAGATTAAAGGGGATGTAGATCATTAGTGTAAATTAATGTAATGTATGTTTATGTTTATGTTTTGCATTAGTTATGACATCCGAAATTTTAAAAGAATATCAATATCGAATGTGTTCTTCGGAAATGTTTAATGTTAATGTTATCTCACATTGAAATAATATTTTTTGGACCACTTCTGCAACAAACGAAATACTCTGTTTTAAAATAAACATAAAAAAATTAAAAATGACCGTAAATTTAGGGATGTCACAAATAGATTGAAAGAATACATATACGATAAAAGTTTAAGCCAACAATGAAGTCGAGTGGTTTTTATAAACAACTATGTACTAGTACTTTGAAATCGAGATCATATAGACTTATAAGTTTGGTATATGATACAAAGTCATTTATTGCAAGGTTTGTCATCATCTATCTAACACAACTAAAAGGGATTAACACCGACATAGAAAAAAACATTTATGTTGGGATTTTCGATTCAATTATATTGCAAGGTTTGTCATCATCTATCTAACACAACTAAAATGGATTAACACTGACTAAGAAAAAAACATTTATGTTGGGATTTTCGATTCAATTAAAGCGAGTTTTGATATTTTCTTTTCGATCGAATAAAGCAATCAAATTAGCAAGTGAATATACATACTTGTTAAAGTGAAAAAGTCCATGAAAACAAAAAAAAATAAAAAATAATAATAAATATTTGATGGATTGCAAATACATATTATATGTATAATTAAAAGTGGGAGGTAATAGTAAAGTTTTGGCTGTGATATTACTTTTGGTCTAATATTTTCTACGATTTATCAATTTTGTCAATTCTCTAATATTAATTACAATAAACCACAATATTTTCTATAATTTAACAGTTTTGGTCTCTTCTTTAATATTAATTTTTATTTTTCAACATCTAACCACCATAGTTTCTGTATTTTGTCAACTTTGGTTCCTTACGTATATTCTAAAAAATTATCTCATAAACAAACATGAACTATGAAATCTGAAACAACCATGAAAACAATAAAAAAATTCTCGATACATAGCAACGCGAGAGCACACCCTCTAGTTGGAATGAAAACTATAAATATCTTATATAATTAATCAAAACTTACATATGCTATAAATAGCATGGTATATTAACATACAATTAGATATGGTTTGGTTAAAAAAAAAAAACCTAAACTTTTGTTTTTTAAAACAAAATCAAATAACCGTCTATTCAAATAAATTATGTTTGTCCCTAACGAAGATATATGAAGCAAATTTATCAATTATCCAAGTTTGCAAGTTACAAGTTAATCAAGGGACTATATATGTAACAAGCTACTAAACCAAATAAGAGGCCACATTTAACCCATGTTTTCCATACGTTGATAGATTTTATAATACGATGGATCCACTCGCTCGTGATTTCTTCTCGTACCGTTTATAAATTTCTCTTCAAATTTTGTTTCCTCTCTGATTTCTTGTTTAAAACAGAACATTTCAGGTATGATCTAGATCGTCTTTTTTCCGGATTCATCTGTTCTTTCTCGATGCTTTTGTTTGTTCGTCATTTATTAATTGAATTTCTTTCTTTTATTCATAATTCTTCCGCAAGAGATTGATTCTGTATGTATAATTCTATCATATGTGTAAGCGACTATGTATGTTTTCGTTGTTGTTGATCGGCATTTTATTGTTTCTACAATTTGAATGTGATTTGCGTAAGGGTGAAAGCCTCTTAGATAGGAGGTCACATTAATTATTAATTAACTTGGTGAATCTAATATCTAACAACTAACCAAACGTTCAAATAAAAATTTATGGTTTATTTTTGTGATGAGATCAATTGCTTCTTATGAGAAGATATAGATTTATATTCTCATTTTCTGATGTCAATTTTGAAGATAATATATTACTCATTTGACTTGATCACCAAATATCAATTGATGACATTATCTTGGCAATGAGATTGTAACATTTTGATAAATTATCGTTCATTATACCAATTCCGAAAAGCATTTCATATAAAATTTTCGAATGCTTTGCATGTATGTACCATAAACACATTCTTCAAACCTATTTAATATTCTATAAACGAAAATTTTAGTGTCGGATTGTTTTGATACTATCATTGTGTTGTCTTTTAATTTTTTTGTTAATTCACTTTAACATTATAGTCACTAGGTAGACCAAGCATGAGGTCCCACTTTAACCTTGTATCATATTCGCCTTGAGATATCTTCATGGGCTAAATTTGTAAGAGAGTTCTCGGGTTGAATTTATCGTTTTAGGTAAAATAACTAGTATTTATATTCTCTGGGTTTGTGTGACCCAATGTGATAATCAGAACGTCATTCGGCTAGACATAATAAAATCTCTACGCTCTCGTGATCATGTGAACTATGTTAAATATTGTGTCTTATTTTTGTTTTGCATAAGAACTCTCTTTTGTGGAATTATCGAAACGGTTATTGAAGTGCTTAAACCCTAATACTCTTGTTAAATTGTTTGTTTGAACAGAATTCTATCATAGTTCTGCTTAGTGAAGACATCAGAAACAACACAATTTAGCACCCGACCAAACTTTTGCTTAAATTTGATCGTTGAAAGATGACTGAGGTATGATGTTTAAAGTGCCCCATTAATTATTAAATGTTTATATGTCAAAGCAAATGTCATGCCTTGTGGAACTTATATAATAACGATAACATGATGCATATCACTTTTGAAATCCATCCATATATAGGAGGTTGAAAAGGTGAGCTTGCATGTCTACGACTTAAGCCAAGGGCTAGCTAAACAGGTCTCCACTTCGTTGTTGGGGAAGGCTATTGAAGGCATATGGTGTGTATCGTTCCTAATTTTCTTCCTTTATCATACATTTATTATAATTAATACATCCCTCATACCACTATACCATGAAATCTTTTTGTTTAAAAAAAATGGAATTTTTTTGTAAAAAATAGTGCATAACCTGGAATCTTTTTGTTAAAATCGTGGATACTTTAGAATCTTGTTGTTAAATTAGTGTTGAACATGTAACCTTTTTGTTAAACTATATAGTACATACCCTAGAATCCTTCTTTTAAACATAGTACATACCATCAATTCCATTAGAATCTTTTTGCTAAAACGATACATACCCTGGAATCTTTTTCTTAAAATAATCCATACCCTCAAACTTTGCTGTTGAAATATATTTTGTTGAAATAATATTTGCATATATATATACCTGAAAATGAACACAGGCACACGGGAATAGTGGTATATGGTATAGAGTATTATTTTGGTGGTGGGATACTAGAGACTCCAGTTGGAACAGCACCATATGGGACTCCAATTGAAATGATTGAGCTTGGTGTCACCAAGATTAAAAAAGATGACTTTGTGTCTTATTTAAAGGAAATAAGTCCTCGTTACACACATGAAACATACAATTTACTGAAGCATAATTGCAATACTTTTAGCAATGAAGTTGCACAGTTTCTTGTTGGCACCACCATCCCGCAGTACATTCTTGACCTCCCTAATGATGTCATGAACTGTCCACTCGCCCCTCTAATGCGTAAGTCATCAACTAATCTTGCTTCTGTTTGGTATGATGGAATCAGATTTAAAGTAATGGAATGGATTATTACATTACATATACCTGGGCCTGGAAATAGAGTGGGTTTTGACCCTGATCCGATCCATACCCTTAACAATTATATGGGTTTGGAGCGTAGTTTTTGATCCATTTACCCGTTAACGACCCGTACCCGCTAACCCTTTTATTAAAAGGGTCGGGTATGGATCATCATCGATCCGCTCCATTTATAACCCGCCCCATATAAGATTTAGAAATATAAATTTATATTTTATATTGCCTAAAGTTTACATTAAATTTCAATCCGAAGTTCAAAGAGAAAAGCCCAAAGACTAAATGATTTTTACATAGGACTCGAGGACTCAACTTCTAGACTTCTACTATTCTCCTAAGAGTCTTGATTTCATTTCATTTATATTTCATCATGTCATCACCAATTTCTTATAAATCAATAAGGTCATTTATCAACCGGAAGAAAGTTTGTAATTGCTATTCTCTATCAATGCAATCGACGGTCAAAAACCAATCGGAAGAAACTAAAATAATGATTCTAATTCCAATAGAAAGTCACATAATCTGTTTTCTAAATCAAAACTTAGTTTTATTTAATAAATGTGATTTTATGATTTAAGTAAAATGTGTTTGATTATTGAAAAAACCTACGGGTTACGGGACGGGTTTGGATGTTTGCTGATTCGGTGGATAAGGGTATGGGTTTGATTACTCAAAACCCTGCGGGTTACGGAACGGGTTTGGATCGGATTTTGAAATTTGTTAAAAGGGTTTGGATCAAGGTTGATTCGCTCCAAACCCGCCCCATTGCTAGGCTACATATACCATCATCATGTTTGGTTGACTTGAAAGAATGTAGCTGTGATTCAAAGATTAGAGAACTAAATGAATTTGATAAATAAAGAAAAAGTTGTTAGACTTTCGGGAACTTTTGGCTTTTAGTTTTTAACAATAAGCTTCGTTTTGACAGTGGAGCTTTTAGTTTTTAGTTTAAATAACAAATTTCAAATCTAAAAGTTATTTCATGTAGCGTTCAGAAAAAAAGCTATCGAGCATTTTTAATCAATATCCAAAATTACCGTTAATAAGATTAACATAATCTCTTTTAATTGCCTTTTTATGTAATTTTACAACACAACATAAACATATTTCATGTCATAAAAAAATAATTAATCATTTTAATAAAATTGTTTTCATAAATAAAAAGTTTAAACATATTTCATGTCATAAAAAAATAATTAATCATTTTAATAAAATTGTTTTCATAAATAAAAAGTTAAATATTATCGGTTGTTTGACATAACGAGTTGTTAGCTTTTATTAGTAGTCCATACTTTTAAATGTGTATAATTACATAAAAACTAAAAACTAAAAACTCTGAAGTAAGCCTTTGTTCCCTCTTCGATTAATGCATAGAAAAAACTACGTGAACTTTAATTTTGGTACTTTTGTGTTATTTAAGTAACATACATGAAATATGAAATGATTAACGCTAAAAAATGAGTATATATTGCAGTGCCGATGATACAAAATCTGGAGTCTCAGTTGAGGGACAATGAAGTCCCGCAAGTCCTTCAACTCGTAGCACCGTTACCAGCATCAGAAGGCAGCAAAGGCCAAGGATCAGAGGTGATACCCAAGAAGATTCATGAACCCCTGGTTGATCCACTTGGAAATGCTCGGACTCAAGTGCAAGATGACATCGCTAAGGAGTTTGCTGCACTTAGGGCTCAGGGAACCCTAAGTCCCAGTGAAGCTGCTGCACTTGCCACCAGGAATGTCATGCAAAAATATGGATTCTTGGATTCCGCTTCCAATTCCAATTCAAATGCTATTTCCGATTCCAAGTCTGAATCCAAGTCCGATTCCAAGTCCAATTCCAAGGCCGATTCCAAGTCCAGTTAAAACTTGGTTAGTTTTAACGGCGTCTTTCTGATTTTTTTAACCTTCTGTTCGTGTGTAGAACGATCGATGGGACAAAAATATTAAGGGCGTTTTGTTTTGTTTTGTTTTGTAGCACGGCTTTTAAGAAACATCTGTATGGACCATTTTGTCAAATAATGTCCTCCTTGCACTTGAAAATTGTAACAGTTTTTTGAACTCCTTTCAATTGTCTGATTAGTTGTTATTTTATGGTGAATTGATTCGGAATGGATTGGATTGACTTGGCTTGGCAAGATTTCTAATTTTGTTCCTGTGGGGTTTATATTTCACTTTTGGTGAAAATAATTTGTTAAATTAAATGTTGTAATTTGAATATAAGAGGACAAAACAAAAGAAGACCTTATAGGCCAACTAATGTAACTTTATCCGACAAAGTTAACACCATATTGTGCTCTAAAGTGTTACTAAATAGAAACAAAAATGTATAATTTATTTGTTACTAACAAATGGCTTCATGTATGTTGCAATATCATCTTAGTTTTTTGTATCTATCAGTTTTGTCACAGTACATGCTCAACTTGTCATTCAGGTGGAATGAGTTACCATGTTGAAAACAGAAAACAAATAAATAAATGCACCAAATAGAAGACATCATAAACATAAAACTAACAAAGCACAACTTCAGCACCAATTTATTACTTGGGTTAATTTCACAAAACGCATTACATTTTTTCAATCTTTTAATCAAAAAAAAAAATCATTATTTTACATTTATTTATTTATTGGAAAAACATTGACATTTTGAAAATTTTGCAGTTTTGCCATTGACATTTTTTTGGCAATTCACCCCCTCTTGAGAGTCCGTAGCTAAACTCTGGAGGGTTAATTTCTAACTAATAATTAAATATCTTTTACATCTTTCAATAACAACGAAATATATATATATATATATATATATATATATATATATATAATATATATATATATATATATATATATATATATATATATGCTTGCTAATCCCCCAAAAAAAGTTACAAAGTGGGATTTAAAATGTATAATATAATTACTGACCAATTGCCTTGTAACAAAAATAAAAGAAGAAAAAAGTAATGAGTCAGAATAAAAGTTAGTAATTTCAATTTTCAAGTAACGATTATTAAAGTACAAAATTTTCTTTTGATTGCCCAAAACAAGTGATTTGAAAAACATTTCTTACCAAAAGATGAGGTGGCAAACCACCAGCCTCCCCAAAGGGACAAAAAAATAATTATATAACACAAACAAGTGCAGTTACTTGAGAGAAACATTAACTTGTATAGCAGATTCTGTCAAAATTATGTCTTTTGAGTTGTCTGCTTTTGGGTGGTCAAGTGAATTGATCTTTAACTTCACATGTAATGGCCTCAAAAAGACGTTGTTACCCTTCCCACTCAGGTTTAAAGCATCTATCAATCTACCCACCTCCTGCTTCTTCTTAGAATCATCACCGCTTTTAATTCTCAAGTACAATGCAGCATTGATAATAACCTGGAAGAAAATCAAACACCTATTTTTTGACTGCTGGAAATCATAACCTACTTTACTCTTTTTTACAACTTGTAAAATGTAATTTATTTTTTGATCCATAATAGCAACATTCTTTACACACAATAGCAACTGCTATTATGGAAAAAACAATATAAGTAGGAACCAAAAATGGATATGCTTGAAGAAGAAGAAGAAGAAGAAGAAGAAGAAGAAGCATACCTCACTTGTTCCTGGGCTAGTATTCACAGCACAATCAATGAATACATTCCCATCTTGCACTCTGGAATCAGACATATTTTTATCCTCTTCAGCATCCACTTGTTTTTGTGTTAAAGACGCAAGTTCATCTAACTCATCATACCATTGTTGGGCCACACCAACCTGCATTCATTTCAGGGTAATTAATATTTTAAGAAAACGAAAGGGCAAATTTGTAAATTGTAATTGAACCTTCTCTGTGGATTCAGCTTTGTTCTCGGCTCCTAAAGTTTCAGTGGCAGTGCCTCTTGTTTGGCGCCAAATACAAGCTTCATCTAGCGGCTCCACAAGCTCTGTATCTTGAGGGATTTCTACTTTCATCCTTATGTCTATCCTGCCTGTTTGTTTCATAACCCTTTTTTTACTAAACAAAAACAGAAACAATGATCATGTGAAAGAGCATGTAGATAGAGACAGGTAATTAATTACCTGGTAACAAGCTGAAATGTTGAATATGATCCAGGGGAAGTCCCGCGACACCAAAACCACTGTCACATCGGTAGAAAAAGGTATACATACATGAGTGTCCTAAACGGGTCGGGTCGGGTCATGGGTCATAGAAATAGAATAAGATTACTCACGCAGCATAAGCTGATTCCATAGGGGGCACCAACCAGTATGGCAATCCAAGCATTCCAAAATTTGAAAACTCAAAGCTTGTCATTGAGTCACAAGTTTTGTTGTATTTCAGCACCACCTGACCATCTAACCACTCTTGTTGCTTAGAGGATATTGTAGTTCATTAATTAAAAAAAAATAAGAAGAAGAAATTATTTACCTGTGTCACAAATTACGATATTGTCCTGAAAAGTTGCCACGGAAGAGAGCAGACCTGCATGTGAAATACCCTCGACCGAGAAATTATTTTGTGGAAGCTGACTAGGCGGTATTTCTTTTACAAGGGATGATTTCTCCTTTATCAAATGTCCGCAGATCTCTATAATCTTTGCAGATCCTTCACAGCATAATAAAAGATTAATAATTAACAACATAATTAATCACAGATGTCGAAAGATCATAATTTGGATAATAAAAGTCAAACCTTTGACCACTTCTTTAATGATACCAGATGACAGATCCAAGATCCATAAAGTTTCTAAACTGCATGAAATAGGAGATTAACATTTAACACTTAACAGTTAACAGTATATCATGTTAATTAAAATATGACATGTAAAATGTGGTTTAGGTTTACCTGTGGTTGAGAATAAAGAGGTCGTTTTCCAATGACTTGAGAAGATGCCAGGGGTAAAAAAGTAATTTAGGATCAACTTCCTCAGAATTTGAAGGAATGTCTTTCGTACTCCAAAGTTTATCAATGATCCAACTAACTAAACCACTTTTTGTCTCACTGACATTAGGTTTTGGATATAATGTCTCAACTGTCCTGCTCTCCATATCAGCTCTCCTTATAGCATGATTCTTTCATCACATGAAAAGTAAAAACCATAATAAGACTATATCACCTATAAACACAGTTGTATTTGTAATTACTCATTTAAAAAAGAATACCTCTGAGTCAACAAAATAGAGGTAATCATCCTCATTGTGATAAAACAAAGCAGCAGGGCGGATTATTTTGGATGATTCAAACTCTCCATCTTCAAATCCAGGTGAAGATCCAATCTGAAATATATATATATATATATATATATATATATATATATATATATATATATATATATATATATATATATATATATATTATTAGCATAAGCTTTTAGCTGCTCAAAATTGAAATGCTATGTGAGTTACAAATGGAACTCCTTACATACACAATCTAAGATATTTCCATTGCCATCAAAGACAATTATACGGTGGTGATTTGTGTCAGAAAGAAACAACCGTTCATTAACTTCATCAACCTCAATGCAACCTGCAAATCATATTACTACAACATTAGGTAAAATATAGTTTCTTTTTAAGCAAATTACGTAAAATAGCAACGTACTTTACTCATTTTACCAATATAGACAATGTACTTTTTAACTATGTTGCTATTATGAATAAAAAGTAAAGTACAATGCTATTACCCACAATTTGCCCTTCCTTTTTGACTGAATGGAGAAACAACGAATTAATACAGAAAATCAGGGAAAAAATGCTTTTTTTAATAAATTTTGCCCTCATTTACTTTTCCTTCTAGTGTTAACTACTTTACCTGGAAAATAAAGAAGTAAATTCTGCAATGGGGAACAGAGATATGGTTCCTTTAAAGCATCAAGTGGCTTTACCCAACTGCCTCTCAGATTATGCAACAATCCTGGTTTTTCTTTCTGTTGAAAGATTAACTCCTTAATGGCTGCAGGTTTTGCATCACAACAAAATACATAAATAGAAAAGTAATATGACAAAACCCGAAATTTAAACAAATAAAAGTGAAAAATAGGGCACCTGTCTCGAGAATTTCAAAATCCACATCCTTGTCATGCAAGAGTAGAGGACCTTCCATACCTTTAAATATTATGTAGCCCATTTTATCAGACATCTACAAACAAGGATATAATCATATAAACAATACAACAAAAAAAGATTCTTACAAACACTGAAGATCCATCTGGCAATATAAATATTACCTCAGAAAGAGATTTGGTCGAGACTAAAATAGGAAATGTGATGTATTCACTCATGATAGTCTTTGCTAAATGAGAACAAACAACATCACTGCTAACTGATTTACAGACTTGAAATCCCATAACATTGAGGGAAGGATGCCTGGAATGATAAACATATAGGAAAATGAATATCAATAAGTTTTAAAATTTGATGTAAGTAAAGCAAAGAAGCCAATGATAACTATATAAACTATTTTCAGACCTTTGTTGAAGTGATTTTACTTTTTCAAACATAAAGGTTGAATTGTGGCCTGATTCAAGAAAAGCACCAGCAACAACTAAGAAGACTCCATTTTTCCCGGTTAAATCCTTGGTGGTAGTGCTTCTATTGAACCAACAATGAGAGGGACCTATATATTTAAGATAAACTATCTATCAGCCACAAAATTCCATTGCACACGTATGTATAATCCAAGAAATGAATAAGGAATTATACCTTCGAGCTCGTTAAGACTAGATCTGATGAAGGTCGACAATAGATCGACCTCTGAAGGAGACGTTCTACATGATTCTGGTACAGTTGAAAACCTGAAAGAAGCTGTCGTTGGTGAATTAGGAAAGTAAAGCAACCCCTTATCAGTGAAGCTGAGTGATGGAATTTTACTTCAAAGAATCCAAATATATCATAAAAACGGACAGTTTGAAGAAACCTTTAACGGGAAGAAAACAGATTTACCTATGAGTATGTTGTTTATGTATTAATCCACCATTGTTGATTTTCCGGCATGAATATAGAGCAACCGAGTTGAGTACCCGTCTGGATGTTTGATACTTCCTTAATATATGATACCATCTACCTAAAACAATTATAACAAAATCTGGAATTCATCAGAATCAATGCCATCATCAAACTTAATGACTGAAGTTTGAATGTGCATAACCAAATTGGGAGGCGAAAACATTACCTACTGATCGCATCACCATAGTCGTACTCGTGTAACAATGTACGACTCTTCTTTCCCCAGGCGTTGAATTTATTAAAAACCCAAATCGAATCTGATTATAAAGTCGAAGCCGAATTTGGCTGCATATAATTGAATCAAAGCAATTCACAAGGAAAGGGGCTTGTAAAAAAAATTGAAAAAACTCTGGGAATGATGCCCCTGTTATGCATTTTTTCCTCTAAACCCCTTTCCTGCTAAACCCTAAAAAATAGAAGGGCATGTTTCAAAACCTTTTTTTTTTCAAATTCACTTACTTCTAATAAAAGGTGTTTTACTTAATTAATCACAGTAGTTTGATGTGAATTCTAAGTTCAAGTCGTACTAATTAAGTTTCTTAAAAGGGCATATTTGAGAAGGGTATATTTTATAGCAGGTTGCTCTTTAAAAAAAATAATAATAAATAAAATAAAATAAAATTATAGCAAGTTTATGGGGTATCAACCGCTAAATCGTTCCGAGCTCGTACAGGACGGCTTACTAAACCCAATTCTCGTTTCTTTTTTCTTTCTTACACTATCAGAAGTACTCACTAGTAATTATAAATGTAGTGGTTGTCACATCAATGTCAGTTTGTCACCTCATCACTACATATAACCATTAAAGATCGATATATCCAAATCACTATATATAGGGGTGTTGATCGGATAAAATTTCCGGGTTTCGGGTAGAATAGGCCGGGTAGTTCGGGTATTTTCTTAAAATAATAATATCTTATACCCGACCTATATTGTAATTCGGGTTCTTGGATTTCGGGTATTCGGGTTTTTAGGTCGGGTCGGGTATTTTCAGGTATACCCGAAAATTACTTAAGTGTCATTTATTGATTTTTGTTAATTCTTTTTTGCATTTTGGTTGCTTTAATAAAAAATTGGGTAACAAAATATTTCATACAATTAACAACTACATAATACAAGTCATTATAATATATTATGTGATTTTTGCATTCCATTTCAAATTCTAATTTAAAAAAAAAAAAAAAAAAAAAAAACTATTTATAGAATACATGATCAATGTTTGATCAAATTTGGATTAACCAAACATGTTAAATGATTTAATGCAAAAGGTGAGTACATAAAAATTATAAATAAAAAATTTAGCATGTTATCTAAATTGCAGAGACAATTATATAGTTATATTTCAATTCACAAAGAAGAAATGACAAAAAAAAAAAAGGAAACATGCGCATAGTTGAAAAAAAAGAAAAAAGATCCATAGTGCACAAAGAAAATAAAGGGGAATCTAACATCTCATTCATGTTTATTATATTTGTTGTAACATTCTGTTCAAAATTCCTTTTCATTTTCAATAATTTCTTTTGTATTTACTATATATTGTTCAAATAATGAAGTTATATAACATTTGGTTTAAATTATAAGGAACAATAATTACGTAAAATAATAAACAATTTTAATAGTTATTATAACTGGTGTATTAATTTTTTTATTTTTTATTTTTTATTTTTTTTAAATCGGGTATTCGGATATACCCGAATTTTTTTAAACCTACCCAATACCCGACCTATTTAAATATTGGGTTACCCGATTATCCGAATTTTCAAACCCGAAACCTGATTTACCCGAATTCAAAATGGGTCGGGTCGGGTAATCAGGTATTGATTATTTTCAACAGGCCTAACTGTATCTATCTTTTTTTTTATTTAAATAAAAAATATTTTTTTAATTATTTAAAATGTAAGAGAGATATAGAAAGAGAAAGAAACTAATTGAATCTGTTGGTTCGTCCTTCTAAGGACTACTAACCACCGAGGTGGTGTTCATGGTTAATGGTTGTTGCCAAATGGATCAAGTAAGTCCTTAATATGTATTTCAATATCCTTAGTCACTTGTATTATTGACTGTGTACCAAATCTAAAATGTGTAGCTCGGGAGGGATGTCTAAAAAAAGAAATCATTTTCTTATGACCTACAAGTTTTCATTTTACAATTTAGGTTTAAATTGTGACAATTATGTCACTGATTGATATATATATATATATATATATATATATATATATATATATATATATATATATATATATATATATATATATATATATATATATATATATATATATATATAAAATAATTTTTTAAAGGTTTTTACAACCTTCTCTAAATTCTTTTTATAACTCTGTTTTATACTTTCTTTTTTTTATATACTTTCTTTGCAATATTTTAAAATACTTTGGATTAAAAAAACAGCCTTATAAAATTGCATTTACTCAAAGCCAGATTAATGATATGTTCGACAAAACTAACGGATAACAGGCAAAGTTTTGTTAAACGTTACATGAGATAGTTTTTAGATTTTGAGCGTTTTATTTAAACTAAGTGCTAAAAGTATGTTGTGTCAAACGAGACTTTTTTTTTATCAAAACAGAGCGTTTTATCAAACTCTAGAAACTCTCAAAAACTCCGAGTCAAACAAGCCCTGGTAGCCCAAACACATTTCCTTGAATTTTGCATGAAATAAATTGTTATTATACTGTATTCTAATATGCATGAATACATTGATTGTCCATCTAAACAATTACACTGCCAAAAGAATAAACATAAACACCGAGTATAGGGCGGGATATACATCTTTATTTCCACCTCAGCGACTGTCTTATCCCAGTGTAAATAAGTCCCAAAGATCTCCCAATCAAACAAACCAAAAAGAACGACACTGCATCGCTAATCTTTGCAGCAACCGTCCTTACAAAAGGCATTCCAATATCACTCAGCTCAAGGTATAGGCTGAAATAGTACCTCCTACATACACCAAAGTCCAAACAATAATAAATCACTAACATGATCTTTTTGATCTAACGGCCCAGATTTGTTCATAAATAAAAGAGTTAAACACTTAAACCATACCAGCCCACGAGGCCCCGTAATTCTTTGGTGCGCTTCACAGGCACACGAACACAGCTGATTACAGCATAGCATAATAAAGGAGACACCAATGGTAATGGTGTTGATTTCCTTACACCAATCTTCTTCAACCAACCAAACTTTCCAGAATTGCCCTTGGAGGATTCAAGAACGCGTCGACTTTCAAGGACACGAAGGTCAAACCGATCCTCATACATGGATACAACCGTCTCCATGTTTTGAACAAACCACTGGTTCAGTGACACCTGTAACATCATCAATCATAATTATTTTTATTGTTTTAGCTTTTAAATCATAATAACCATATTTTACAATTGTTGTACCTCGTTACGTAGTCTTTGAAGTGCTCGGGTCGATAAGGTGCACAAATTCAAACCGAGGTCATTTATGTCATTTGACATGTCACTGTCTACAGAAATTAACTCCAAATAGATGCTCGCGATTCCATCAGATAATGTGATCACCAAATCTTCCAACACAGAAACCCCCCAACAACCAAAAAAATTGTCATCATAACGGGAATCCTGGCTGTTGGTGAACATTCAAAGAAAAAATTAGACTTAAAAAGTTAAAATTAATGACTTTTTAAATAAATAAAATAACACGGAAACTGTAATATTATATTATATACCTGACAGAATCAAATCTAAGTATGTAAAGTAGTTCAGTATAAAGATCCTCCTTGCCTGATTTTTTAACCATTTGTACAACTGAGTCATCTCCTTTTAACTTTTCAAATAATCGAAGGGGGAGTTCCTGATTCAAGAACAAATAATCAAACCATGAAAGTTTCATCATTTTTCTAAATTAACCATTTTGACCTGATATAAAGGGTTTTTAGTAATTTGTCCATTTCGTTACAGTATACCATCCTTGTATTCGAACGTACCTTCATGGATCTCTTGTTTCTTAATAAAAGCTCTTCTTTCAGCCAATTCGTGCATATAGACAATGAAGATCTCTGTAGGGTTTCAGAGAAAACCTTCTGCAGATTTTTCATGTCTGATGTAGAAGTGCTTCTATAGATATTGTCCACCTATAATCAAGTAATTCAACTTTTTATTAAGTAAAAAAAAAGAGAGAAGTACAAACCAATATATGAAAGAGTACCTGCCTCGTTTTTAAGCCAATGAAAAGAAGCCAACATCAACCGGAACCTGGGACCCTCTGCAATGGCAGACAAACTTGAAGATTTGTTGGCAGTTTGTCCTGATTCCATAGTTTCATTTTCAAGTTTGGTCCCATGTTCAATTGCAGTTATGGAATTGATAAGTTTGTTTTCCACAGTATCCCATGACAACTCTAAGCTAACCTCCTTGCCCTTATCATTCTTTACACCACTGCAGATTTCGAGAGGATCAAACAACAGATAGAATATTGATTGAATATATATGAGAAAGATTACATTTCTATTCTAGTACCTTGCTTACCTACCAGAAATGGGAGTCCCATCAGGATCCACAGTATCACTAGATTTGTTTCTTCTAGAAGTTGAAAAGGGCCCATCAGCAGGTATAACTCCAGCCAAATGTGTAAGAAAAATACTTGACATGAGGAGCACTTGATCAATTACAGGAATCCACACAGAAGGATCACCATTTGTACTTATTAAAGTTCCTAAACAATAGCATTTCATGCTTGTCACCTTCTGCTTGTGATTTACTTTTAGGTTTGTGATGCAGAATCCACCAGGCTTGTGGTGGTTTTGTGTAGCTCTACCACATGCAGCGTAACACTTCCTACTGATTAATGGCAGTTCAGATATAATCAGAAGTAAGAAAAGCATGAAAACTAAATGTTATGAAGTTAAGAGTAAGACCTGCGAGTTTGAGCACATAATCCATTTGGCATAAAGCTTAGCTCCGTGAAAGAATTTCCATAAACTGGAAACTTCATAAATGGCAGGACAGCAACATATTCTGTCATTCGTCTATCTTCCTGCTTCTTCCCTTAGAACATTAACTATAAAAGAAACAAATAATGTCACAAATTGTAGTAGCAGACAACTTCCACAATATACATCTATAAGATCAACAGCAGCCACCAACGCACACAGTCAACCGTAATCGATACGAGGAAAATTCAGATTACCGCATAGCTCGTGTCATGACTGGAAGGTGCAGTATCAAGTATTAACAGTCAAACCGATATGAATTCACTGGCAAACAAAAACCTAAAGTGTTTCCTACATTGTATTCAATCAACTGTGAACTCAATTGGGGCCTCGATCAGGATTTATTTGAGTTCATACCTAGAGATCAGGTCAGCGCTATTAATGAAAGATCTGTTAAGTGGCAGAGAATGAGTAATGTAGTTACCAGGTGAAATAACGACGTGAACGAGTGTAGGAACCCTAAATTTTAGGGAACAGAGTTGCAAATCCGAGAGAGTAGGAATTGAAGATTGGATATCGTATGTGCGTACCTGGCTTTTTTGGGTGTGCAAAGTGATTCTAATCTCCGGATTTCCACTCTCTCGAGTCGAGTTTCAATGGCCCATTCGTGGGCGAACGGTTTTGTTTGGCACCGTGTCCAGATTTCCAAATACACACGTTTCGCACACTTCAAAACCTTACAAGCACACATATCACACCAAACCCACAAAAACACCACTCTATTGATAATTTGATATTTGATATTAAAAATATGTATTGCAAATTCTGTTTGTACTCGTTCATGTTTGTATTTGTTTTTATCTTCATCATGTTCATGTTTTGTAACGTTTGTAAATTTCAACATAAAAAATACGACATCGTGTTGTATTTTGTTCGAGTTAATACAAAAATAAAATGATATTTACATGAAACATAATCGATTTTATGCCTTACTATCCATAATAATTTTCAAATTAAAATATACTTTGTAATTCTTTGAAATCATGAACAATCACATTTTAGTTCCTTCGAAAACTGAAAAATCGTCTAATCAAAATTGTCAAATTCCAATGACTCTTTTAAATTTCATAACCGTTCAGCATATACATATTGGCACTTCACTTCTTCACGTTTTAACTTCTTTAAAGTCCATAGCTTCTTCTTAATCGAATTTCAAACTCAAAATCTTTGTCTTCATAGTTGTTCCTTAATTGCCTAATAAAGCTCTAGTGTGATTAAACCATTTAAATACATAATTGCTAAAGCCTTTCTTGTAGTCTTCATATGTTTTGTTTTTTGTTTATTGTTTCCTTCTTGTTCATTGCATACATGTAACACAATTCTTGATGTGATATGTTTTCAGTTCAGTCACTTAATGTGTTTGATATATGTGTGTTTTTTTTTTCATGTTTTTGTTTGTTTCTTGTTCATCGCATACATATAACACAATTTTATATGTGATTTGTTTTCAAAATAATCATTTAATGGCTCATCATATTACCTTTTGTCCTTCAAACGTGTGTTTTTGGCTTTAAGTTATAACAACTAACTATCGTTGCATCCTTCTAGCAAATTTGGGTAGCAAAAAGCCTATGTATTTCTCTGTGAATATGTTTTATTGGCAATTACACTATGCGGACCCTTTGTTTTGTATCCAAACACACTTGCGAACGTTTTTCTCATTGTTGCATATTCATTAGGGTGGCAAATCGTGCTATCGTTTCGTGTTTCTGTCTGACACGACACGACAATGTTTTTTTGTAACATTAACATGATACGACACAATGTCGTGTTTTTTTTTAACTAACACGAAAACGAACGAATTAAAAAACGACAGACACGACACGACACGAAAAATATAAGATATACAAAAAACTAGTATATTTAATGAATAATTAATCAAATATAACGATAGAGAACTGTTAAATCGTGTCACTTTCGTGTCGAATTTTGAACACGAACACGCCACGACATCGTGTTTTTTACAGCTAACACGAACACGAATTCAAATTTTAGTTTCATCCCAATTTCGTTTCATTTCGTGTATTTTTATCGTGGCGTGCCATAAATTGTCACCCCTAATATTCATTGCATGAAAACTTCTTAATCAACATTGATTTTATTCTTCGTTGTATATGTTTTGTATGCTTATAAATAAAATTGGTTTTATTTTTGCTTGTGTATTTTTGTATGTTAATAATCAATGTTAACCAAATAGTAATTTCTAGCTTGTTCCAGTAAATTTAGATGTCATTTGTATACTTAAATGTATGGTCCAACTATAATTCTTAGAGGTGGCAAAAACTGACACGATACGAAACCCGACACAAAATAAACGAGTTTGGGTAAGATATTTCAATCCGTTTAAATAAACATTGTAACGCCCGCAGATCCGGGCTAGTCAATTTAGAGGCAATAGGGATCGAAAATGACTTTTCGACAAAAGATTATTTAGAATAAATAATCTTAACCAAGTTGTATAATATGTCACAAGGTTTCCGTACATATAAAGAACGCCGAAATCCGAGTTATAACGAAGAAGTTATGGCCCGTCGAAGTTTCGCGACGGAACCGGCACGGCACTGGGAAGCGTAAATAGTGAATTTACAATGGAGGACTTTTTAGCCTTAGTGATCTAAATGAAAGTCGTAGAATATGTTAAACCGAGAAAATCCGTAAAAAGAACGCCCAAATCTGACTTCGTATGAAAAAGTTATGATTTTTCTAAGATTCGGTCTAGCAGTGTACAGCCCGAAACTCGAATTTTAGTTCGAGCGGTTTTTGGCTTACATGACCTAAATGAGAGTTGAAGATCTCATTAATAGGAACTCAACAGTAAAAAGACAGATGAAAACGGAGTCCGTATGAAGGAGTTATGAATTCTTCGCGGTCATTTAACAGTCTAAACGCCTCCTACTGTTAAATTTGAGATCGGTCGAGAATTAGCTGACAGAGTCTAAACGAAAGTTGTAGATCTTGATTTTACCTACGCATGGATATAAAGAACGTCGAAAACGGAGCTCGTATGCAAAAGTTATGATTTTTCTAAGTTTGAAGGCTGATACGCGATAGGGGTGACGTGGCACCACCAGAATTTGACACGTGGCACCACCAGAAGGCCACCACATGGACCAACTCAGCGAGTAGGTCCCCCCTACTTGGTGAGTCCATCAGATTTTTTCACTATAAATAGAGGTGTCGGGTCTAGCCTCCTCTTCTTCACACATCCCAAACCTTCTTTCTCTCTGTAAACTCTCTCTCTCTCTAAGCCTCCCTAACCCCCCTAAAGCCTAGGGTAACTCCCTAGCACGAGGCGGAATCCCCGGAGCACCCGACGGCTCCGAGAAAAGAGCCTTTTGGCTCGGGAAACGCTGCTCCAGTGAAGCCCGGTTTTGCGAAAAAACCCGCTGTAAGTGAGCTACGCCTACGCTAGTTTTAATATAGCTTCTAATTAATTATAGTAACATTATTAGGACCTGAAAATAATTATTTGGGCTATTATTATGAGTTATATTGAGTGTTATTTAACTCTTATATAATAATAATAATATTCAGACTATTAATTTGTCGCGGATATCGGTAGATTAAACCCTAGTGGTGTTGATACTAGGTTTTATCGAAGGAAAGTTGTTTTGAGAGTATCGAAGCGCTGTCCGAGTGTTGAGTCACCACCTTTCAGGTGAGTGCATGGTCCCTTTCATCTTACACATAGATATGAAGTATTTTATTATAAATTACGTGCTATGTGTGCATATTGTCTGAATACTTGTTGTCTATGCTGATGAAAGATTTTTATACATGTTTTAAATGATGTAAACTGTATAAAGTATTTTATATCTACAAAATATGTTGGGTAAAACATGGGTAGATGAATAATGAGCAATAAAAGTTGATATAGAGGAACATTAGTAGCATGGACCTAGTGCCCTATGGGTATACATTGGCAGCAGTGGACCTAGTACCCTATAGATGAGCACTGGCAGCTGCGCCACAACCCGTAGATGTTTTAGATCTACGGTAAACGTCCTAGCAGCTGCGCTCTAAGGACAGTATCGGCAGTTGCGCCTAATAGGGAGCCTTATGACCATGACAGTAGCGTTTAAAGGTCAATACCGGCAGAAGCGCCTCATAGAAAATGTCCCAATTCTGGCAGTTGCGCCTAAGTGACAAGATTAGCAGCTGCGCTTGACCAATGTGTCATTGGCAACAATGGACTTCATGTTGTTTCCTTAGGATGATCCTTAGGAATGAATGAATGAGAAATAGCTGATTCTTAGGGTAGACCCTTAAGAATAAAGAAGATAATGGGGATGGGTAATTGGGTTGATTGTTTGATTATTTAAACATAATGATTATATTATTGTGGGTTGAGAACCCTATGTACTCACCAGGTTTCCCAACCTGACCCACTCAGTTTATTTATATCACAGGTGTTGATACGAAGTCACTTTACACTGAGAGATTTAAAGAGATGTAGATCACTAGTGTAAATAAATGTAAGTTCTGTTTATGCTTATGTTTCTGTATTAACGATGACATCCCAAACGTTTTGAAATGAATAAAATACGTTTCTTCGAAAATGTTTTAATAACATATTTATCATGTTTTTATGGGAACAAATTCCGCAACATTTTTATGAAAAGAAGTACTCTGATTTTTATAAAGCATAAACAAAATCGGTCTTTTCTGGCCCTGAAAATGGGGATGTCACAGTTGGTATCAGAGCATTAGTTTAAGCGAACTAGGAATATGGATTTATTTCTAGACTTAAACTTAGAATGCTAAGCGATGATTGTGAGGTGTGAGCACTAGATTATTTTAGGAATTGTGCCTAAAATGCTTTTATGTGCTAAATACTTGTGCCTGATATGGTGTTAAATTGTTCGGATTTATGGTCTGTTGCCGACCGGATCTGGAAACCTTATGTGTTTAGGATTTTAAACGTACGACTACGATATTAGAACTAGCATATAAACGTTTCGGAGTGATAAGGATGATTTAACCATCAATCCTAAGTAAAGATCTAGATTCACCTTATTTGGTGTATAGATCA